AACACAGAGAAGACAAGTAGTGATTCCAGAACATCTTACTATGCTGATGGACAGTGACTGTAATGGGGTTTGTGGGGGCGACTTGGGGTAGTGGAGAGCCTAGAAAACATAATGTTCTTCAAAAAAATAAAAATAAATAAATAAATAAATAAATAATAATAATAAAGAGTATTAGGACTCAAGTTTAAAGTTTACAAAAGCAGAAATTATCAATATTGAAAGACTGTTTGAGATCTCCATATCCCTGGCTTGAATATTTCTCTCTCCACTCTGAACCACTGATACAAGAGGTCTAAACCAGTGAAAAGGATTGAGAAAGTAGAACCAGGGATGAGGTAAAAAAATCAATCCATCTCTGGTTCTCTATATAAGCATCTCTTTCTAGGGTAAGGAAGTTCTATAACCAGGCAAACAGAGGGAAGAAAACCTTTTTATTTTGAGAACCAGACAAATAACAAGGAAATACCATATGGAAATGTGTCTCTCTCAGTAGCATAACACTGTCTTCAGACAGACCCTAGTGGAAAACAAAAGTTCCTGCAAGGCCCTGTGTAATAGGTATTGGTCAGAGTTAGGCTGCCATCCCCTCTGGCCAGACAGACACTGAGAGCATCACCTTACCTCTGTGGCAGCAACTTGTCCCCAGCCAAGTAGCCAGACTTGTGGACTTCCTTATTGAAATCACCATACTTGGACTGGACAGCATAGGAAGCCAGCAGCACAGCAGTCTCAGGTGGGCAGTAAATATCATCATTGAGAATGCCCTCCTTCACTTGCAGGAAAAACAGGCGCTGTGTGATATCCTGGATCAATTCCTCAGATACATCCTCAGGGTAGAACTTGGCCCGGAACTTGAAGAGCAGGGGGCTTTCCTTCCGCACATCCTGGGCAGTGACCTGGGGGAAAGAGGGGGTTATGAGCTCTCAAAAAATAAGACTTTTGGGGATGGGGAAGTGGTTGTAGGATAGGGAGAAGACACTGAAAGTTCACCAATTTGGGTAATCCCAAAGAGTTGGGTGGCAACACTCCTGGTAATTCAGAAAACACACACATTACATTCATTGGGGACCCAATCCCATATCCACAATTGCTTTCTGTGAGACCATTTCAGGAAGAAATCCCCAACATCCACTGATAAGCCCTCAAGCCACCATCATCTGACAATATATCCAACTACCCCCAATTTCTGAGAATAGGCTTAAGATGGCTCCTCTTTTAAGGCTCCCCAACTCTATAAATTAGGAAAGTAAAGACCAGGATGAATGCCTGAGGCCTGGGAATTGGCTAAGCAAGAGCACAAACCAGACTGTCTTTTAAAGCTTCAAATTGGCTCTTCAACAGCTCCATAATTGCGCAGCAAAAATCTCCACTCTTTGGGAAAATACCACTCTACCAGAAGAAGATGGGGCGCCCATTCCCTGCATACAATCCCTATAAGCCACAGGAGAGTCTGAAGACCTCCAAGGACAAAGTCAGCCAGTTTGAGAATAATGAGATGGAAGACTGTCATTTTCATGAAGCACTGCTGCTTAAAGGTGGAGAATTTCAATGGACCTATACTCAAATGACCCCATTTGGAGTTCACTTCAGATATATCAAGAAAAGCGAAGCATCTGTATGAGGTTCAGGTACCAGCTGACAGGCAAAGGAAGGGACAATATTATTAATAAAGACTTTTAAGATTATTTCTAGTTCAAAAGTCTGTGACTCTTTTTAACAAATCTAAAACCCTTGAGTCTGTAAAGAAAAAGGGATAATAACCCCTCTTAAAGACCCACTATGGCTATGGTATTAAACAAGACAAAAGTTCAAGGCAGACCTTCTCACAGAAAGGGCAGAGTCCCTACTTCCTTGGATACTGACCATTCTCACTGTTAGAAGTCAAAGTGGAGACAGACCAGGAATTTGTCTTCACTTACGGCTCTTATTCTGATCCAGTGGTCAACAGACTTCCCAGTTAAAAACAATACCCTAGGTGTATAGGTTTGCCAGCTAACACATGTTAACCCTCTGAGCAAAATCTGGTAAAGGAAATAATTCAAAACCCGACATTGGAATAAGCAGTTACCTTCTTATTGAGTTTCAGCCAAGTGGAGAAGCCCTTAGTGTCCTGGTATTGCAGACCAAAGAACCAAACTTCCCTCAGACCGATAGTCTTCACCACCTAGAAGAAAAACATAAAACAACCATTGATTAAATGCCTGCCCTGTGCCAGGCACAAAGGACAAAAAAGTGGAGCCCTCATGCTACCTGACCTTAAAGGACATAATGTGCCCAGAGTCTGGCATGAAAATACACTTGGGCAGCAGTCAAGACGTGATGCAGCATCTCTGCACAAAGTACTTCTGCAGAGGTAGAGAATGGATGTATTACTTATGAGCAATACAACACACCGATAACATTAGACCATTATCTTCCTTAATTTTCTTTTTGTAATTTTACTATCATTAATATACAACTACATGAGGAACATTATGTTTACTAGACCCCGCCTATCATGAAGTACCCCCCACAAACCCCATTACAGTCACTGTCCATCAACATAGTAAGATTCTGTAGAACCACTACTTGCCTTCTCTATGCTGCACAGCCCTCCCTGTGTACCCCCACATTATACATGCTAATTGTAATGCCCCCTTTCTTCCCCCCCTTATCCCTCCCTTCCCAGCCATCTTCCCCAGTCCCTTTCCCTTTGGTAACTGTTAGTCCATTCTTGGATTCTGTGAGTCTGCTGCTGTTTTGTTCCTTCAGTTCTTTCTTTGTTTTATACTTCACATATGAGTGAAATCATTTGGTATTTCTCTTTCTCTGCCTGGCTTATTTCACTGAGCATAAAACCCTGTAACTCCATCCATGTTGTTGCAAATGGTGGGATTTGTTTTCTTCTTATGGTGGAATAATATTCCATTGTGTATATGTACCACCTCTTCTTTATCTATTCATCTCATCCACTGACGGACACGTAGGTTGTTTCCATTTCTTGCCTACTATAAATAGTGCTGCGATAAACATAGGGGTGCATCTGTCTTTTTCAGACTAGGCTGCTGCATTCTCAGGTTAAATTCCGAGAAGTGGAATTCCTGGGTCAAATGGTATTTCTATTTTGAGCATTTTGAGGAACCTCCATACTGCTTTCCACAATGGTTGAACTAATTTATATTCCCCCCAGCAGTATAGGGGGTTCCCCTTTCTCCACAACCTTGCCAACATTTCTTGCGGTCATTGTCTTTTGGATGGTGGCGATCCTTACTGGTGTGAGGTGATATCTCATCATGGTTTTAATTTGCATTTCTCTGATGAATAGCGATGTGGAGCATCTTTTCATGTGTCTGTTGGCCATCTGAATTTCTTCTTTGGAGAACTGTCTGTTCAGCTCTTCTGACCATTTTTTAATTGGATTATTTGCTTTTTGTTTGTTGAGGTGCAAGAGCTCTTTATATATTTAGGAAGTCAACATTTTATAGGATCTGTCATTTATGAATATATTCTCCCATGCTGTAGGATGCTTCTTGTTCTATTGCTGGTGTCCTTTGCTGTACAGAAGCTTTTCAGCTTGATATAATCACATTTGCTCATTTTAGCTTTTGTTCCCTTGCCCGAGGAGATATGTTCATGAAGAAGTCACTCATGTTTATGTCCAAGAGATATTTGCCTATGTTTTTTTCTGAGAGTTTTATGGTTTCATGACTTACATTCAAGTATTTGATCCATTTCGAATTTACTTTTGTGTATGGGGTTAGACAATGATCTAGTTTCATTCTCTTACATGTAGCTGGCCACTTTTGCCAGCACCAGCTGTTGAAGAGGTTGTCATTTCCCCATTGTATGTCCATGCCTCCTTTATCATATATTAATTGACCATATGCTTGGGTTAATGTCTGGAGAGTTTATTCTGTTCCACTGGTCTGTGGCTCTGTTCTTGTGCCAGTACCAAATTGTCTTGATTACTATGGCTGTGTAGTAGAGCTTGAAGTTGGGCAGTGAGATATCCCCCTACTTTATTCTTCCTCCCCACGATTGCTTTGCCTATTCGGGGTCTTCGGTGGTTCCATATGAATTTTAGAACTATTTGTTCCAGTTTGCTAAAGAATGCTGTTGGTATGTTGATAGGGATTGCATTGAATCTGTAGAATGCTTTAGGCAGGATGGACATTTTGATGATATTAATTCTTCCTAGCCAAGAGCATGGGATGAGTTTTCATTTGTTAGTGTCCACTTTAATTGCTCTTAAGAGTGTCTTGTAGATTTCAGGATATAGGTCTTTCACTTCCTTGGTTAGGTTTATTCCTAGGTATTGTATTCTTTTTGATGCAATTGCGAATGGAATTGTTTTCCTGATTTCTCTTTCTGCTAGTTCATTGTTAGTATATGGGAAAGCAACAGATTTCTGTGTACTAATTTCGTATCCTGCAACTTTTCTGAATTCCGATATTAGTTCTAGTAGTTTTGGAGTGGAGTCTTTAGGGTTTTTTATGTACAATATCATGTAATCTGCATATAGTGACAGTTTGACTTCTTTACCAATCTGGATTCATTGTATTTCTTTGTTTTGTCTAATTGCCGTGGCTAGGACCTCCAGTACTATGATGAATAACAGTGAGGAGAGTGGGCATCCCTGTCTTCTTTCCAATCTTAAGGAAAAGCTTTCAGCTTCTGGCTGTTCAGGATGATGTCGGCTGTGGGTTTATCATATATGGCCTTTATTATGTTGCCCTCTATACCTATTTTGTTGAGAGTTTTTATCATGAATGGATGTTGAATTTTGTTGAATGCTTTTTTAGTGTCAATACAGATGATCATGTGGCTTTTGTCCTTCCTTTTGTTGATGTGGTGGATGATGTTGATGGATTTTCGAATGTTGTACCATCCTTGCATCCCTGGGATGAATCCCAGTTAGTCATGGTGTATGATCATCTTGATGTATTTTTAAATTCGGTTTGCTAATATTTTGTAGAGTATTTTTGCATCTATGTTCATCAGGGATATTGGTCTGTAATTTTCCTTTTTGGTGGAGTCTTTGCCTAGTTTTGGTATTAGGGTGATGCTGCCTTCATAGAATGAGTCTGGAAGTACTCGCTACTGTTCTATTTTTTGGAAAAGTTTAAGGACAATGGATATTATATCTTCTCTGTATGTCTGATAAAATTCCGTGACAAATCCATCTGGCCCCAGGGTTTTGCTCTTGGGTAGATTTTTGAATACCACTTCAATTTCTTTGCTGGTAATTGGTCTGCTTAGACTTTCTGTTTCTTCCTTGTTCAGTCTTGGAAGATTGTATTTTTCTAGGAAGTTGTCCATTTCTTCTAGTTTTCCCAGCTTGTTAGCATATGGATTCTCATAGTATTCTTGATGATTCCTTGTATTTCCATGGGGTCTGTCGTGATTTTTCCTTTCTCGTTTCTGATTCTGCTGATGAGTGTAGATTCTCATTTTCTCTTAATAAGTCTGGCTAGAGGCTTATCTATTTTGTTTATTTTCTCAAAGAACCAGCTCTTGGTTTCATTGATTTTTTCTATTGTTTTATTCTTCTCAATTTTGTTTATTTATTCTCTGACCTCTCTTATGTCTCTCCTTCTGCTGACTTGGGGCCTGATTTGTTCTTCTTTTTCCAATTTCAATAATTGTGACATTAGACCATACTTTTGGGATTGTTCTTCCTTCCTTAAATAGGCCTGGATTGCTATACACTTTCCTCTTAGAACTGCTTTCGCTGAGTCCCACAGAAGTTGGGGCTTTGTGCTGTTGTCATTTGTCTCCATATATTGTGTGATCTCTGTTTTAATTTGATCGTTGACCCATCGATTATTTAGGAGCATGTTCTTAAGCTTTCATGTGTTTGTGAGCCTTTTTCCTTTCTTTGTACAATTTACTTCTAGTTTCATACCTTTGTGGTCTGAGAAGTTGGTTGGTAGGATTTCAATTTTTTTAATTTACTGAGGCTCTTTTTGTGGCCTAGTATGTGGTCTATTCTGAAAAATGTTCCATGTGCACTTGAGAAGAATGTGTATCCTGCTGCTTTTGGGTGTAGAGTTCTATAGATGTCTATTAGGTCCATCTGTTCTAGTGTGTTGTTCAGTGCCTCTGTGTCCTTACTTATTTTCTGTCTGGTGGATCTGTCGTTTGGAGTGAGCAATGTGTTGATGCCTCCCAAAATGGATGCACTGTATTCTACTTCCTCCCTTAATTCTGTTACTATTTGTTTCACGTATGTTGGTGCTCCTGTATTGGGTGCATATTATATTTATAATGGTTATATCCTCTTGTTGGACTGACCCTATATCATTATGTAATGTCCTTCTTTGTCTATTGTTACCTCATTGTTTTGAAGTCTATTTTGTCTGATACAAGTACTGCAACACCTGCTTTTTCCTCCCTGATGTTTGCATGAAATATCTTATTCCATCCCTTGACTTTTAGTCTGTGTATGTGTTTGGGTTTGAGGTGAGTCTCTTGTAAGCAACATATAGATGGGTCTTGCTTTTTCATCCATTCTATTACTCTGTGTCTTTGGATTGGTACATTCAGTCCATTTATATTTAGGGAGATTATTGAAAGACATGTACTTATTGCCATTGCAGGCTTTAGATTCATGGTTACCAAACATTCAAGGGCAGCTTCTTTACTATCTAACTATCTAACTTGACTCAGTTATTAAGATATTATAAACACAGTCTGATGATTCTTTACTTCTCTCCCTTCTTATTCTTCCTCCTCCATTCTTTATATGTTAGGTGTTCTATTCTGTGCTCTTTTGTGTTTCTTTTGACTGCTTTTGAGGGTGGTTGATTTTATGTTTTGCCTTTAGTTAGTATTTGGTTAGTCTGCTTTCTTTATTGTGATTTTATTTTCTCTGGTGATATCTATTTTGCCTTAGGAGTGCTTCCATCTAGAGCAGTCCCTTTAAAATATCCTGTAAAGATGTTTTGTAGGATGCAAATTCCCTCAACTTTTGCTTGTCTGGGAATTGTTACCTGCATTTCCCTCCTTCATATTTAAATGATAATCATGCTGGATACAGTATTCTTGGTTCAAGGCCCTTCTGTTTCATTGCATTAAATATATCATGCCGTTCTCTTCTGGCCTGTAAGATTTCTGTTGAGAAGTCTGATGATAGCCTGATGGGTTTTCCTTTGTAGGTGACCTTTTTTCTCTCTCTGGATGCCA